AGTAAAACATTCCCGAGATACCTTTCCGGTGAGGTATTATCCTGAAGGCCATCGAATTGCGTGATATGATCGTGTCTTACCATCCTTGATAGATTTGGCGTAGGACAATCGTATCATAGTCGTGGAATAACGGTTACAAGGTGATGGTGCCAGTAGATCGGAGCTACATATCTTTACCAATGTAAATCTTAACCAGCTACACGGGGTTTGAAACGGTTACATTCTGTGTGCGTATCACTATGTTTTACTTGAATACCCATCAATTGAGCAGCGTCGATGCCTAGGTACCTTCAAGTGGCATCTCGATGCTCGGTTGACAAGCTTCTCATACGTCCAATCGGTGTTGCCGCAAAGCATGTCATCTTATCAGAATGGTATAGACGACTGTCGCTCAGGTAAAGAATCTGTCTTACATCAGTACAGTTCGGCAAATTCCTTGGGTTAGTACGCACAAAAATATCCCCCTACAAGATCCATGATCGTGTATCATCTTACGTTGGAGGTGCCTGACGCGCCCCACCTCATCACTAAACAGGTCATCAAATTTATCCATGGCATCTACATGCGTATACGAGACACACAAGACTTGTGCAAAGGATTATGGCTAAGATTGAACTGGGACGCTGACATTCGGGCTTGTGGAGAACACAGATACTGAGAAATGAAGCCGGAGGTGAGCTACTGTTGCGCTAGCGAACAAATATGACACCAACTACGAGCAACAGTATGAGATATTTTGCCTCAACGACCTTCTGAAGTGCAATTGAAACCCATCCAAGGTACGGTATGTATCCCACGACTAGGCCCATGATCTCGTCTCTTGTTACAAACGTTCGCCCATCAGGATACATGGGAACATCATCGACTTCATTATTGTCACCTTTGGTGACTATGAATTGTCTATGTTACGTTAGATGTGATGTCGCCATGCCGAAGCTGTGAGAATATCTTACCTTGGCGAGGAATTATCATCATCTCCACCAATGTCAGAGACTTTGATCGCCCGATGAACCATTGGCAAAGCTCTGCCAGCAAACCATACGACTGGTATTTCGCCAGCTTGAATGCGGTTGCTCCGATTGGAGAGCAAGAGCAGATCCCCTCTATGAAAAGCGGGTGCCATGGACTCTGAGATGACACATACCATTGGCACTGAAGAAGCGGTAAGAGCCGAAAGCCCTTTCCACATCACCAATGGTGTGCTCAAAGTGGTCAAGATGGGTAAGAGGCGCAGCAGATAGCAGCGTAATCGTCCGCTTTGGGATTGCTTGGCCGTTCGTCGAGAAGATGCTGGCATCTCCATCGTCCAATGCAAGCGGTCGATGAGGAAACGGGTTGGCGATCACTTGCTCGAGGATGTGCGTATCAGGATGGAGCTGGAGTTGCATACCAGAATGAAGCGGTGGCAAGAACATGATGTACGAAACGCCCAGAGTTATTGTACTTGCTCATTCTCGAGAAGCGATGAGCACGATACATCATGCCGTAGTCTGAGGTGAAATCGCTGACTCATCTCCGTTTCCGGTACCCGCAGGTGGTATTCTCCGTCTCCAGAAAAGATCTGCGTTGAAGCACAAACAGGAAAGCGTCTGGGTAAATGCAGCTGGCAGCCAGTCAGCGTGACATGGCTTGCAGCAACATGAAATTTATAATCACCGAGACATTACCCTTGCGCTATCCTTGATACCAGACGCATGCCGCGAGTCCAAGTCGTCTGCCGAGGAGGCAACAAGAGGTGTATGTGGATAATCCTGCCCTGGCGGCTTATGCCGAGACCACGTGCTGATGTACAAGCGGTCCAGGCAGCGGTTAAACCGGATCACGATGCTTCGAGGGTTTCTTGTGTAAGGGATGACATTGCAGATCGCGTATAGCGAGTCACATTGTCTTAGCCAAGAGTTGCTGAGTTGCGCAGTTAATTCTTATGGCGCATGCGAGTTCCGACCTGCATTCTTCTCATTCTTCACCGAGAGGTTGATGAGGCCTGCCCATCTGTCTTGCCGCATTGTTCAGCGTTTGCGACTGCGAATACTCGCACCCTGCTTACCCCTCAAACCTTTCGAGATCCATTGTTCAGTTGGCAGTCGACATGGCGGCAGTTCTCGAGTTCTGCTCACTTCCTTTTAAGATCTCCGATGCCCCCATCGCGAATGAAGAGACCAGCATCTATGTCAGATGCCACGATCGATTGTTTTCAAACGTCACCGTTGTGGATAAGAAAGGCCAAGAGCTCTTCGTGGGAGGAGGACCTGGGCCAATGAAGTCTTGGTCATGGCGTCGACAGGTGAAAGACACTTCGGGTGTGCCTGTCTTCGACCTACGACATCACGGGTCGGCAATGAAGAACCTCTGGACGGTGGAAAGTCCAGATGGTCAGCGCATAGCGGAGCTGAAACACGTCTCTTCTGGCCGCCGATCGGATCTCGATATGGTCGTTCCCACCGGAAAAGACAGGGAAGACGACGTGGTGCTGCAGGTTCGGCAGAAGGACCAGAGTGCAATTACGACTAGGGTATTCTCCAAAGACGTCTGCATCGCCGAACTGCTGTTGCAGGAGTCAAACGATATCTCCAACCTCAGTCAAGTTGACAGAAGCTCTTGGAAGGTTCGGATTGCTGGTGGTGTAGATCCAGCAGTGGTAAGCCATCTATCGATCTTGGATATGGATTGAAGCTAATCAGTGATTCAGATCTTGATCATAGCTCTATGTCGGGCTGAGATGCATCATGTATGGAGACAGTAGTACCTGGTCTGAGAGCATCGTCGCTCAAAGTGTGGAGATCGTGAAGAGCTCGTTGTCGGGAAAGCATCAAACTGGCCATGGCGTTTCGCTTGCGCCAGGGTGTTTGTGAGGCCTTAATGTTTCTTCAGACCCTCGTTTCGCTGCACTGCATGAGACGCAACCACCTACGTAGATGTTGAACGACGGCTTAGCCTAGTCAGTGAAGTTTACCAGCCTGGTAACTCATTTACCAATTCATCGAGTTTACTGGAGGGTTCCTTCTTAGTTGACAAGTCGTGTATCTGTAGACGTCGTTGTAGACGTCGTCGTAGACGTTTGTCGAGCGTTTGTTGGGCGAGGTGAGTCAGATGGATCGGAACCAGATCTCAGTACGATAGCAGGTGTGCCATTATTCCTTCCTACTCTTCAGTCGCATAACAATGCGACTTGTTGCGATGAACTTTTCCTTCTTGGCCATATGTCTACGCGCGATGTCTACGCGCGCAGACCCGACTGAACAGGCGACACACCCATACTCAGAATACGTTTTGCTTCCAGCCCAAAGATCTCGCGAAGAACAAGGGCGTGGTGAAAATGATGAACAGTCGATACTTGCGCGCTTTGGATGAAAGAGGGGTTAGAAGGGTCCACGGGTCTCAGCAAGCGATAAAAAAAATGACGTTCGTGGATAAGAAGGTCCGAGAGTAGCTCCGGTATTTAGCACACCTTGAACTAGCAACCCCGGATCTCCAATACAAGCTCGAAGCTGTAGTGGAGTCCACTTGTTTCATTTGAGAATGTGTAAACTACTCTACATCTAGGCGCTGAAGGCTCATAGCATTGCTGATTGGCAGCTTCGTGTTCAGAATGGCATGATTTCGATTCAAATTCATGTTTTCGAGAACACGACCGTGCACATTCCTGCCTTCGGTTGCCCCTCAACCAGCTAAACTCGAACTAGACCGATTTGCTCTCTCCTCGTGGCACCAACACCAAGCTGAAGAAACAGTATGGTCTGCGAACTTTACAAGATGCCGACCTCCGATATGTTGTTGGCTACCTAGGTACCGTCACCTGCTGGCGCCGACCCTCACGCCCACCGTCGCTTACTCCTTACCGCTGGAACACTCTGAAGCGCGCGATCAAGATCCGCACGGCTTACCAACATAAACCATTCCAGAATGCCAGAAATCGTCAGCTTCGGCATAACGGACGCCATCCTGTGAGGTCTCCTAACAACAATCGCTCGCCCTAAGCCATTTGCGCTAATCGCAATCTTAATCACGACCGTCTTCTATGTTTTTCTCCGAAAAGTCCGGCCCCTAAGCCTCGCCGAGGCCGGTTTTGATAGCATCAAGAGTCTATAATCTTACTGTTGAGGTCTTTGGCGACATTTAGAATGAGCTGCATTGCACTTGCCATTATCTATCTGCTAAGGCGCCGGTGGTCGAAGTCTTGGAGGCAACTATCGTAGGGGAGGCTGTTGGTGATCAAAGCTCCTGCGGCGAACGCTCTGTCCTCTCACTTCCAAAGTTTACTCACGAAGTGTTAACTTGTGGGCTTCCGGTGATGCCCTTACCGTGTTTAAGTTTTCGCGTTTGCAGTCCGCATTAGGTGGCGTGCGGCAACCTACGTGGTACAATACTTGCCCAAAGTTATATAATGCTCGGCATTCATGTTGTTTGACGAGGGTGATTGAGTTTGTTGCCCTAAACTCATCAACGTCCCTAACGTCAGCTTCCTGCACCGTCTCACACCTGACGACGTGCTGGTATCGACTTGGGTTTATTCGGGCCGTGCTCGGGTATGAACAGAACACGGCGGTCGCTTTCGCGACAATGGAGTGCGCCTTTGGTTCAGATTAGTGCCTGCCCAGGTGGCCTTGAGTCGGGCTGGTACGCCAGTACCAATCAGCAGTCTCTCCAGCAATTGAGCCGATCACCGGCTTACTTCCGATCTTAGCCCAACACGGATCCAAAAAAGGGACGTGCGCGCCGGATTTGGGATCAAGCATGTGGATCGGCTTGTCTGTGGAGAAGTCTGCCAATAGGGAAGTCAAATGGTGGAACGAACCGCCAATCAGGTAGGGACCAAGCATGCTTCAGCTGTAAATTGGCAGCCATCGTAGGTCTAGGTCTCTGGCAGGGCGCTGCCACAGACCGGCGGATACCTTCAAAACCATGCTTCCCCTCGCGGCTTCCATCTCGTGTCAGTCTAAAGCAAACCTCATCGTTGATCACACTTCACAGTCGCTTTCAAGTAACCAGACTTTGCCAACATGCGCTTCTCCATTATCGCCGCTGCCGCTGCATTGAGCTCTACAGCTCTGGCCCAAGGTCTTCTTGACCAGATCCCGCAATGTGCTGTAAGTTATCGACCATAACTACCCGCGAACGAAAGCTAAAGAAAACGCAGCAAGCCTGCTTCGGTGGCAACTTAGGCAGCTGCGGTGCTACTGACATTGCATGCATTTGCGAGAGCAAGATTATCGACGCTGTGTCTTGCTGTGTGTTCGCTACTTGCTCACAGTCGGATATCGCTGGTATGTCGCTTGCCATTTCGCGTCCCGTCCCAGCTAACAAGTATCACAGCGACCACTCAGTTCGGTGTCGAGATTTGCAAACTCCAGAACATCGACGTCAACACCCAACCCTCATGCCCGTCTGGCAGCGCGACAGCATCCGGCAGCGCGACACCGTCTGGCAGCGCGACCCCTTCTGCGGGCAACTCCTCTGTCACACAAGTGTCTGGCACCGCCTCCATGACCCCTTCAGGAAGCGCCTCCGCCACTTCAGCATCAGCGGCTGGCAACACTGGAGCAGCGCCAATCCAGACCGCAGGCGCGGGAGTCGGTCTTGGACTTGCCATGGTCGGACTGCTCGCTGCTTTGTAGGAGAACACTTCCAGCACTGTACGCTGTTGGACACTTGTCCAACGCCCGTTGTTCGAACGGTAGCCCCAGCCATGCACCTGACGCGTCGTGTATTAGACAATTTCCCGACTCGCGTCTCAAGAAAACCTTCCTGCAAACATCGATTGTTCACACCGAAGACATGGCCTGGTTTATTTGTAGTGTATTTCCACAGTTTGGAAACTTCTTTGTTTAATAACATAATCTATTTCGGCATTTACAACTGTTAGTAGATCTGTAGCATTGGTGCTAAACTATAATAACAAGTAACTGTGAATGCATTCTCTTTGGAGACATTTGATTGATGTATCCCCTTAAAGGGAGGTGCTATGAAACTACATACATCGATGATACCAGGCTGGAAAGCCTACCTGGCTTATTTGGCATGAAACCACTTCAACTCTCTTACTTTAGAACGCGCTGGTAATAATTACAGTCTTCCAGACGCACACAATGACTGATTTCATCTTTTGTTCGCGACTGCACGACGTGCTGCGGGATAATCCAGCTGATCCGCCCAATCCCGTGCCCGTGCGGCTTACTCTTGAACATTCGAGGTTGAAGCCTCGTCGGCCCCTAGTCGGGACGCGCTCGGCCGCTACTATTTGCCATTAGCTGCCTTCCACCGAAGCATGTTCAGCTCCCGTGGCCCATTGGACGATCTCCACACCCCAGATCTTCGACCCTTCAACATCCCCGGCATCCATCACTGTCAGCCTTCATCATAAGTCCTCACTTCCAGCCTAATCCCTTTTATCCTCACTTTTTTTGCGCATGCATTCCACGTAGCTGTTGCGACGCTCTACCGCGATAAGCACTCATAAGGTCGTGCGACGATGGGTCTCGGCATCCTCTCTGACCATGCACTCGAACAGGTCCCTGGGACCGCGCAGGTATTGGAGGGCGAGCAGCGGAGGGAAATAGAAAGAAATGCAGGAAATATCATAGGGAGGTCAGGCTTGAAGTACGACAAAACTGGGACAATACTGCTTGTTCCGCAGCCGAGTGATGATCCGAATGATCCGCTTGTACGTCTTTCAAACGTCCCATTCTGGCACAAAATCTAGGCAAGTGCACATAGTTGACTGATACTCCAGAACTGGTCGCTTCGTCGTCGCGACACCATTCTCCTTCTTCTATCCTCCATATCAGTCATCGCAAGCACCCTCTCTCCCATTCTTGCCGCCAATACTGTCTCCCTCGCCATTTACTTTGGTCACAACCTAACCGACATGGCTCTGTTGACCGGCTACCACCTCTTGGGTGTCGGAGTCGCAGGTTTTCTTTTCGTGCCGTCAGCGCGTATCTGGGGAAAACGACATGTGTACATTCTAGGAACTGTGATAGTCGTGGTGAGTTGTGCGTGGGGTGGCGCGATAGGAAACAACTATGCTGGATTTCTATGGGCGAGGGTGTTTCAAGGCGTGGGCCTAGCGCCATTCGAAGCGCTCGTCAATGGTGAGTTCAAGCGTGGATATCTTTGAATCCTACTTGAAGCATACACTAACTTTGTATCTCGATTCAAAGCCAGTGTTGGCGATATGTATCACGTCCACGAGCGCGGAGTCCGCATGGCGCTGTCAAACTTCGCCGTCTTCGGAGGCGCGTTCCTTACCCCAGTTTTGGTAGGAGTGATTGCAGATTCAATCGGATATCAGTGGACATTCTATTTTGTCGCCATATTCTCGGGGATCATGCTACCGCTGATCATACTCTTCTGCCCGGAAACGGCGTTCAGGAGGGAAGAGAAATTTGACACCGACACTATGGGGAACTTACTGGTTAAGGATGGAGAAGAGATGAAAATCCTGGGTAATCGGGGGTCGAGTAGCACATCTGCTGAACACGAAGCAGCTGGAAACACGGATGAAAAGGGAGCAGGAAACACTGCGGACCAGCATTCGGTGGGCGATTCGCCACGCAAGGCTACTTTTCTCGAAAGTATGAAGCCGTTCAATGGGCGGAAAACAGATGACCGGTATCTGCACCTCCTTCTGCGGCCGTTCTCGCTGTTCTTGCATCCGGGTATACTGTGGGCCTGTCTCATCCAAGGCAGTCTAATCGGTTTCACGGTCCTTATCGGTGTTGTGCTTGCAGCAATTATGCTTGGCCCACCGCTTTGGTTTGGAGAGAAGGAGACAGGATACATGTAAGTTGATACATTCCGTTCATATCTTGCGCCTACAAGTCCTAATCCCATCAAGGTATACGGGCGCCTTCATCGGTGCACTCCTCGGCTTCGCCCTCACCGGTCTGATTAGTGACTGGTCCGCCAACCTGCTCACGCGCCTCAATAACGGCGTCTACGAACCCGAGTTCCGCATGGTGCTCGTGGTCCCACAACTCATATTAGGTTGTGCTGGTATCTACGGCTTCGGCTGGACCAGCGCAGATACGGCAACGTACGGCTGGTTTTGGCCTGATTTCTTCTTCGCGCTCGTAGTCATGGGTATGGTGTGTGGTGCTGTCGCCAGTGCGCTATACATCGTCGATGCGCATCGTAAGTCTCCGAGACCATTCCATGCTTTGAGATACTGACGTGTATAGGTGGCATGTCCATCGAAGCTTTCACGTGCCTCCTCGTTTTCAAGAACGTGTTCTCCTTCGCCCTGACGTTTAAAGGCTTCGACTGGGTCGTTGAGGCTGGACGGCGGAGTGGGGTAGGTGGTGGTGGGGGGATCAAGACCCTGTTTATCGCCGTCGGGAGTGCGCAGGTCGCTGTTTGTGCGTTGACGATTCCGATGTGTAAGTCTCAGAGAGAAGGTGAGACGAGGGCAGTGGCTAATCCGTGCTTTGATAGACATCCTCGGCAAGAAGAACCGGAGTTTCTTCCACCGCCACAATGTTTTCTTTGCGGTAACGGATTGGGTGGCGGATAAACTGACATTTTGGTAGGAGGTTGTCACAAGGCCATTGTTGGAGGGGATCGCTTGGGGTGTATTAATGTGGACTTCGATTCCTGCACTGTCGTTTACTATGTTTGTTTCTATCTTCTGTTGTTCTTGTCGGATTAGAGCCATCTATCCCTGTCATTCTCGCATTGATCCTGCTTCGGTTACATGGGGGTATGGTCACGATATAAGCCATGAAAATCTCTATTCCTTCACATACGACCATAGGACACTGAGAATTAGGCTTCCCGTCCGCTCAGCTATATACAAGCAGTGTACCGGCGGATTAGTAGTTAGGTGGGTGACCACTAGCGAATCCCCGCTGTTGTATGTTTTTGCTCTTTTTTGCACCATGGTGGTGGTGATTTTTTTTTGCCCGCGTTCGCCCCACCAGCCCAAGACCCACCACGACAAGCTCTCAAGTACGAACACCACTTATCAACCACTAAGCTACCGGAATACCAATAGTTAGAGCAAGGAACTCGAACTTTCTTTGGATCGTGGTTTCTTCTACCATCATGAGCTCCGCATTCCCCTCGTTGAGCATGCGCACGTGATCTATGCATACCGGATGAGCAGCTAGAGGTGATTTGATATATAATGAAGCTTCTGTATCTGTCTAATGTGAGATTTGAGCAACACTTCAAGGTATCTCTAATCATCTCCATCCATCATGACATCCACAATGGCCTTTGCCTCCTCGAGATCCTCTTCACGGTAGAACTTAAGTCCATAGGAAATCATGAACTGCTCCGAATTGCCATAGTACTGTTCGATCCAATCAAGCTGGCGTTCCGTGAAGTTGTAGTCTGCCTGATGGCCTTCGAGACGTGACAAATCAAAATCATCCTCCTCATCCCCGGACCCTCCCAGCTCGGACATCTCGTCCTCACGCATGATGGCGCGTAAAATCACCCGTCCCTCTTCGCGGTCTTCCTCTTTGTAGATACTGAGCCCGTGCTGTCTCAGGAAGTGATATTCGGAGCGATAGTGTTTCTTGAGGAACGAAGTTTCTTCGGCCGTGTAAGGTGCAGCATTATACCCCGAGGTGTTGGCTCCATTCCCAGCTTGGAACTCTTGCCATCTACGCCTCTCGGAGTCGTCCCATTGGCAGCCTAGCACGTACATCACGTCCTTCTTGAGCGCGTACGGACCGAGCCTTGGCCCGTTCGGTGACCGGCGCACTTTGATCCCGAACAACGGGCTTTTACAGGCGAAATAGGCAGCGTTTTTACCCTGGCTGTCTTTGATGATGCCTTTGTGTTTTCCGCTTTTGCCGCCGTATGTATTGACGTTGTACCCATCAGTGTACATGAGTGGTTGCCCAATGGTGTTGCAAATGAAGTCAGGCACGTGCAAGACCTCGTGAAGAATGAGAGATCGATGCGAAGATACACCTGAAGCATTCGGAGAGCATTTGGTGGGGATTTCGACGGTACCTATTCCCAGCACGGGAGTTTGCGTGTGCGGGCCGAAGAAGGGCGAGGAATTTACTGTTGATTTGAAGGGCATGTACGTTTTAAACCAGCCTCTGTCCTTTGCGACGCTGATAGCCATATGTTAACGATGGATACTTCTGAATGAGTCGTAGCTCACCTACTGTACGTTGGCATTGTTTAGAAAGACCCAATCGGGACAGAGGCGTGAATTGGTATCCGGATTCATCTCGTTGTCAGACTGCTTGCTGTAGGTCCGCACGGGTACTTCTGGCGATCGAGGCTAGATGGACAGGAGCTGACCGATGAGTGTCACCCTATGCGGGGGGATGCGGCTGGGAGATTAGGTATATGTACTTGCGCGATTCCACGGTTGTTTGCTGCGCGCGATTGTCCCGAGGTAATGCCGCATTGACTAGGGGCAACCACGCTAACGAACATTCACCTGGGCACTTGCAGCTGGCCATTGGCGAGTTGCCCCCACTGTTGCTGAGCTGAACTGACTTCACGCGCAGACTGCATGCGCAGATAGTACGCGCAAACCAAGGAATTTAGACAACGTTGAACAGGTAATTGTTTTCGGGCATTTTGAGGTAATCGTGCGACAGTCTCCTCCGTGGCTCGCAGCTGGAGCTTATCCGGCAAATCCCTTTTGCGCGGTGCCCAATCTTGGCCGAACACGTTCCCCAAAGGCCTTCGGGAGCTCTAACTGGGAATCGGCCGCGATGATTCGCGTCCACTCAACCTTGTACAAGCAAGATACTGGTGTGCTAGTAGCTAATAGATGACTACTGGCGATTTTTGCTGTTATAAGCTTCTGACTTCGTTTGTGCGCCGAAACTTAACACATCTTTTGCGCTCAGATTACATCCATTAGACTACGACCCACTACTACAACCTCTCAAGATCATAACGAAGTTGGCTAACTGATGCTCAAGACGACATTAATAACTCACGAAAGTCCCCTCTCTCTCAGCCGTGCCTCCGCCCAAGCTCCAAGTTCGCCGAAGAACTGTTCAGATTCACCACCATGCCAGTCGCGCAACGCAAACCACAAATAGCGCACATCTTTTCCCGCTTTGATCGCGAATTCGAAATCTGGCGCATGCGTGTACAACTCCTGTTCATTGTACCAGAGGTTAGCGCAACATCTTGGTAAGCAGGATTCGGTACAGACAAACCTTGATGTAATGTCGCGACTAGGTGGCATATGCTTCTAGTTCTGCAGCTGTTGATGATCCAGGTATCCTAGTAACAGCTGGCTCAGCATGCTCGTTCGTAATCAGATCCACAGGACCAGCCGTGACAAGTGGGTCAGCTAGTAGAGCTGGAACGATGCATGCTGTCTCCCGATCATATAGCGACGTGACTCCGGGCTTACGGTCGTCGTCTGTGATGATCGAAGTGTTGTGTATCCCAAAGTCACCGTGCTCAAGCACTAGCCTGTACAAGATGTCGGAGTTCTCTTGCGGCAGTAGATGTGGTATCGCTCTGAGGAGAGACTGCTTCGCTGCCAGTGCGACAGGTCCCACGGTTTCTTCATCATCTTCCCATCCAATCATGTCACCTCCGTTCTTGATTGTTGCTTCATTCTTTGACTGTATTACGTGTATCCAGAATTCGCGAGTAGGCGCTACGGGTAGTCTGAAAGCATCTGGTTTGAAGTCAAAGATACGGCTATGCAGGTACTTGACTGCAAAACCAGAGGGTGGGCAATAGTTGAAGAGGGCGGCACGCATGCGTGCGAGCTGATCAAGGAGAACGGTCTGAGAGCTTTTAGTATATCTCAACGCCTCGAATAATGACTCATACCTTTGCCTCAGCATCGAGCCCTTTCCACACATTGTTTGTGCCGTCTGATCGTTCGAACACAAAGATGCGTCGACCCGAGAGATCTGCTGGTATCTGGACTTTAGGACTCGGTTTGAGGACCGGTGCACGGTGATAGAGCAGACGAGATGCGCGGACTTCTGCTTCGTTCCGCAACAGGTCATATGTGGCGGCTTCGAATTTAACTTCAGCGACCTGCCGCTCGACGACAAAGCCATCAAAATCCGGCATATTGACGTCGCCGCGAGCTAGACGAACTACCAAGTCCGGTCCATCGCGAACCTGAAGGTGAAATCCCTAAGCACAAATCAGTAAACTGTGATTGGCAAGCGAGCTGAGTTAGAATGAAATTGAGTTTCGATATCGTCTCCGCCGAGCCTATCGCGTTGGGCCGCATGGCTAGATCAGCTGACCCTAGAATAGCCATGATAATGCACGTACATAGTTGTTGGAGCCTTTATCGATAGTCGGGATATCTGTTACTTCAACTTGGAGCTTCTCTTCAATCTCATCGATGAGCAACTGGACGTTCCACACGTCTCTGAAGGGACTAGCATTGTCCCGCACCAGTGTCAGAATATGTTTGCCGTCGTACTCTTCTCCATGCAATCCAACGGGCCACTCATCGCGCCAGGGCATACTTTCTTAGACTTCGATGTGACTTCGCGATTTCTTCGTGTGGTCGATATTCGTGAGACAGGTGGAAGGTGAGTGATCAGTTTGGCATTACTCGATGCCACTTTGTGTTTGCCTTCGCTCGCTAATCGTTACACAAAGGCGTCTAGACGACGAACGCCCCGTGCGTTGCATGATGCAAGGGTACGCCATATAACAGCAATAGATATGAGAAGACCTTTGTATACTACTTATAGCGAGCCTCATCCGTCCCGCTTTCTACTCTGTTGAGAAGCAGAGGTCAAAGACCGTTGAGCAAAGTCGTTATGTTTGGAGTAATCTGTTGTGTCATGAGTACACGAGACCGACAGAGCACTATCTGCTATAGCGCCTAGAGGAGGTTTCGCAACCTTCGGGTGCGCGCACGCGTGGGAGACGCGCCAGTAGAAAAGTGGGTCTTATGACGTCATGTCGACGCGTCGACGGTGCGTGGAGTTTTGGCGAGTGCAACGCGCAACCTGAATTTCCACCACGCAGCGCCACAACAGCAACAACCCTGAAGGAGCAACGCGTTTAGTTTAGAAGTTATGAAGTAAGCAACTCATTCCAATGGTATAGGTCGTGTATCCATGAATAACGTGATCAAACTAAAAGAGTGGCACGAGGAAATGGCACGCGCTTGCCGAACCCTACACTTTCAAAATTGGAGAAACACATCAACGAAAGGAAGCGCAACCGAGAAAACACTCGCGAGCCAAATTGACTTCATCACAAATAACCCGCCCAAGATTGCGCTGCCGAAGCCGCGTTCGCTGCAGCAATCCCTCCGGCGACATCGCCCTTCGAGCTACCCAAGCCAATCTCGAAGCTATCATAACCACAGCTGGTGGGCGCGCCAGCTTCAGAGCCGTCTAAGCCAGGGACTATCTGCCAATACAACTACAATGCACGTTAGCATGCTGTCCATCGAGTATTTGTACCTGTCATGCTTACCCAAGGAACTCCAGCGTCGTTGAACACTTGGACCTGCGTGTCGAAAGAGTCCTGGTAGTCGACCGAGACGCCCCACTCTTCCATCATGATGTTCTTGCCTGCAGCCCTCGCCCCGCTCAAGACCTCCCTGTCGCCGGTGATGTAGTAGGCCCAATCAGACGCCTTGCTCATGTATCCGTGCATGCTGATGATGTCGATGGCATCGCATTGCATAGCCTTCTCCAACGTGTTGAACTCGTGGTCACAGCAGTAGTGAGAACCGCCGACACCGCCTGTGGCAACCTTGATGTTGGAGGATCCAAGAGCGCTGCGCAGTGCTCCAGCACGGCCACATAGCCAGTCGTCCGGGTCATTGGCGTTCAACAGGTCGATCTGCCCGATCAGCGGCTCGTTCTGGAGGTCGAAAGCCATGATGACCTCTTCCATATCTTTCCAAGCTTTGCCGAAGTTCGGTGACTGGTAGTTGAGCATCTCGTTAAGTCTGTTGTCGTAGTCGGCTTTGGCGTCGGATGAAGAATAGAAGGTAGGTGCGTCGCCATACTTCTGGCAGTATGCGTCACATCCCGCGCTGCCGCCCAGTGTATTGGCGTTATGGGGAGATATGATCGCCTTCATTCCGTTGTCGTGCAGGAGTTTGAGAGTGTCGTCGAGCTTATCTAGAACGGTCGTATCGTACACACCAACCGTCGCTTCGAAAGCTGGCACGTCATTCTCGATGGTGCTGCCCTTCAAGCACCCTGTGGCAACGTTCGTCGCTACAAAACCATTGTCAGTACTGCAGATTTTCCTTCAAATCCACTGCTAAGAGGATGCAGAATTATTCCAAAAGATGTTCATAACTATTCAAATGCTACTCACCCCAAAGCCTCAGGACCTTGGCGCCCCATCCAGCAAGAGTTTCAACATACTCCTTCTGCTCGGATGCAGAAAGCGCATGGAGGAAGTACTCGTTACTTCCTGCGAATGAAGTTGAAGCTTGCCTGCGAGTTGGTACCAAACCGTTGACTACCGTTGTCGATAGCCCCAGCAAGGAAGTGATAGCCACAAGGCTGCGCATCGTGAAAGTTGGTGGTGCGTAGATGTATACGAGTTATAAACAGATGTGGGTAATAATTGGTGAGTAATTTGGTCTTTGCATGCCAAAGACTATATATGCCATGGTGGCCATCCAGGTCAACCTTGCGAGGGGCCGGATACAGTCGAATGCGCCTGTGTTGATGGTTTGGAGACGTATGGGGCCAGCCTTGCCAGCCACGTTCGTCGTGAGATCACCTCAAATTACCAGCTAATTTTATCGCATCGAAACTTTACAGGTGAGATAGCCTAGATTTTGGTGGCTGTCTGTGACAGCTGCGGGAGTGCACCCACGGACGTTGTGCATGCAGCTGGGCCGCCCCCAAGGCCGCCCCTATTGGCCTGATCGAAACTCTAGAGATAAATGGCGACGCACCCGCCGGATTCAGTCAATGGCAGGCACCGAAGAGAACGCCATGTTCTCACCCGTCACTATCAGACCCCGATCATTTCTCGTTCGGCGTTGTTGCTGCTGCACAATTCTTCAGCCTTGCCGGTGTGTTGAGGTGAAAGTCTATTTATGCGTACATGGGCGTCCAATCAGAGTTCAGCCGTCTCGGGTTCAAGTATGTGCATACACATGCCCGTGCTATCACATCCAGACATCCATTTCCAGCGAAGGAAGGCTGGGGTAATTTGCGACATGTGCGAAAACGCCCTGCGTACAAAATACGCCGGTCCGCTGCCAACCTTGCTTTCTCCACAACTCTTCCCTTAGCCTTCCCGCTGTGAAAAAAGAAGGCTTGTATCGATTTATCTCTCCAGTAAGATACGCTAGCATACACCAAGATGGTTGGCAGCCGAGGCTTTCCCGCTCTTGCTTTTCTCCTAGCCCTGGTCAGCGTAGCAGGCGCTAGTGGTCCTACGAGTATCTTCATTGATCAGATTGAAGAATACAAGCTGCTCGCAACATGTGCCGAGCTCGAATTGTCGACTATCGTGCGTAACATGAAATGGGGGTGCGGCGATGGCGGCTCATACCAGTCGTTTACTTGCTGTAAGTTGCCATTGTGGAACAAAGCTTGCGGCTGCGACGTGCGCTGACCTCGTAATTTCTGTATCACAGTCTGCTACGAGAGCTCTGCCAAGTTCTCCAGCATGATTGGAGCTCATGTCATGACCCAGTGTCCAGACGACCCTTCGCAAAACACGACGGCGCTGGAAGTGTTTAGCAGCTATTGTGATATCGGAGGTTCTAAGTTGGCTGAGATCGCCGGTGAGTAATCCGTTGTTCTGGGGTGAGAAATGAACGAGCTGACATGGGGATAGCCGCTACAACATCGGTACCAGCAACAACTTCAATGCCGCCATCATCATCTTCTGCTTCTCCAGCATCAACCCTGCAATCGGCTTTCTCAACTCCCACTTCAACAACACCTATCTCATCACCCGAGCCCACTACCTCACCTGAGTCGACGCCTGCTCCCAAGAACACTTCTCGGAAAGTCGCGATAGCCACAGGTATCACTGTCCCGGTAGTCGTCCTAGCTTCAGCCTTCGCGGCCTTCTTCTTGTTCCGCCGCTATAGGAACACGCATGGTAAACCCGTGCTGTATGAAGCCGACGGTTCTTCCTTGGATGCATCAAGGGGTGGCACATGCCATGAGGTGAGTGAGAAAGGGCAAATTCCCGCAGAACTGGCAGACCACGATCGCCACGATCCTCACGAGTTGGATGCCCAAAGCGATAGTAAGGTTTGATGAAACGCGTCTTTAGTGGATGAAGTCTTGTGGTACTCCAGTTAGAGAGTTGGCATGGTCTCGAGTAAAGATTGCTTGAACGATTTGCTATGTTCCGCGTTAGTGCAACAGGATGGGAGTCTCTTAGCGAACATTAGAAGAACGGAGAAGCTCTAGCCAGAACATCCACTTGCCGCTTGGTCAATCCATCATGACAACCATGTTGAGTCAATCGTGAACAGATACTATTGGGGGGGTAACACCGTAATAGTCCATTCGAAATGTAGCCAGGACAGTCAGGTAGGCCATTTACAAAGTGGACATCCTACTCCACTCCAGCTCTTCACTGACGCGATTGGGGTCGCACCTTGCCACGACGAACATGGCGAAGCTCTTGATGTATGGCAGTCTTCTCTTCTTCGATGCTTAGCAGATGCATCGTCAAGCTACGTCCATGCTTTGTGATCAGTACAACTCTTCCAAACCATGCCTAAAGATCGATGTACGAAGTCAGTAGATGGCTCACAACATTTTGTACACCACTATTACCTGTGTGAGAAGGTACCAGAAGTTTGTTTGTCCGTTGAGGAGGATATCAGGCGAGTTTCCTTTCATCCAGTCCTATAAACAGTCCGGGTGGCTTCAGGAGTCCGTGCATGTGTCCAAATTCGATCGTTGTGGGATGCGGTTCCGCAGATTTCCTTCGGACCGGGCGGTAACATCTGAATGCCCTGCATTTGCGCATGTTGAGACATCCAGATTCCCATACACCACTGAAATGGCTAGGCGACAATACGATCGTCGGGCTTATTTGGTCCCATGTGATGCAGATTAGTGCATACTCATCGCGCTTGAAGCTTGCGACCCCGAACACGAGTCATTGACTCTGTATGTGTTCGCATGGTGAATGCTAGCACTCGGATGCGACTTGAAGTCGAAAGCGTTTCCAAATGCAGCTCCATGGATGACAGAACAGTGATACGATCACTCTTAGAGTAGAGTCCCGACAACACTGACATTTGTTCTGTTCGAATTACCAGAATCGGCAAGCCGGCGTTTCCGTCGGCATCATGTTCGCCTTGACAGAACGGTGTTATGCGGGGTACCGGGGTAGCTGTATCTACCCCGCAAACTAGACATTCGGAGAGCAACCGTATCGATCGCCTGTGCGTGGCGCTGCCGCGGAGTGTTTCCGCATTCAGACACATCCAGTACCAGGCCTTCACACGCGACATCTCCGTTGATTCCCTTAGGGCGTCCGGTCGGATGGGATACTAGAGGAGATCGACATGGTCTCGAAACGTTACTGGAGTGTGGCAGCATCCACAGGCGAAACGCAATTCGCCCTGGTTATCGGGCGCGAGACGGTGGCAGGATCGCGAATAGCGTGGCGGTCATGCAGGATCCGCGCAGGAGGGGTATGTCGTGCGTTGACGTATATATAGAGAGTGTATCGCCCACGATGTGTCTATCCAAAGGATCGACAGTAGCTTTCCAATCTCACAACCTCCTCTTTATTCAAGAACCACCCCTCCCACAATGGTCCACTTCCGGACAGACATCGGTGCGACGAACGAAGCGGCGGATCCGAATAACGAGAACTATGCAAAAGAGCTCGAGACCGATGTTGTGATTGTAGGCGCCGGTTTCGGCGGCGTCTATTTGATGCACAAACTCCGCCAGCAGGGCTTCAAGTGCAAGATTATGGAGGCTGGTTCCAACATTGGTGGTATCTGGCACTGGAACTGCTATCCCGGTGCTCGGGTCGATTCCCAGGTCCCCATCTACGAATACAGTATGCCCGAGATCTGGAAGGTATGTGACAATCTTGGTGGATCGCTATTCGAAGACTGACATTGGCGGATAGGACTGGAATTGGTCCTGCAGATACCCCGGTACGGAAGAGCTCCAACAGTATTTCGATCACGTCGAGCGAAAGCTGGATATCAAGAAAGATTGCGCATTCAACACCAGAGTTGTCGAGGCTCAGTTCGACAAACCCTCCTCGAAATGGGTCGTGAAGACCGAAGATGGCCGGACAGCGCGCTGCAAATATTTCCTTTTGGCTCTGGGCTTCGCGGCGAAGCGTCATTTCCCCGACTGGCCGGGAATGGACAAGTTCGAGGGCGAGATCCATCACAGCTCATTCTGGCCAGCATCTGGAGTAGACGTCAAGGGAAAACGTGTTGCCGTCATTGGCACTGGGTCGACAGGTGTTCAGATTGCCCAGGAGACATCGAAGACAGCCGCCAGTATAACCCAATTTGTTCGCACGCCCAACCTCTGCCTCCCAATGCAACAGAAAGCTCTCACAAAGGAGGAACAGGACAGACGGAAGCAGGGCGAGTACCAGGAAATCTTCAAGAAAAGATTGACAACGTTCGCTGGCTTCCAGTACGACTACATCGAGAAGAACACCTTCGATGACTCACCCGAGGAGCGCGAGGCGTTCTATGAGAAGATGTGGGAGAACGGTGGTTTCGAGTTCTGGCTGGTAAGCGATAGATGTGAAGCCCCTACCTCAGCAGACACTTACTGTGATGGCAGGCAAACTACAAGGATCTGTTGTTCGACAACAAAGCCAACCGCGAAGCCTACAACTTCTGGGCGAAGAAGACGCGGGCCCGGATAACGGATCCTGAGAAGCGTGAGATTCTTGCGCCTCTGGAGCCACCGCATGCTTTTGGTACCAAGCGACCGAGTCTGGAGCAGAACTATTACGAGATGCTCGACAAGCCCGAGAACAAGGTCATCGACGTGAACAAGAACCCGATCAAGGAGGTTACTGAAAAGGGTATTGTCCTGGCTGACGGTACTCTACACGAGTTCGACGTCATCGCCCTTGCAACCGGCTTCGATTCAGTGACAGGTGGTATGAAGAACATGGGACTGAAGGATGTCGACGGTGTTGAGCTGTCAGAAAAGTGGAAGAACGGTACCTACTCGTACCTGGGTATGAGCCTGAGTGGTTTCCCGTAAGTTCTCAAGTGTTTTCAACTACTGCAGATACTGACTAGACTATAGCAACTGCTTCTTCCTCTACGGTGCTCAGGGACCGACGGCGTTTTCCAACGGACCCACGTGCGTTGAGGTCCAGGGAGACTGGATTGTCGATGCCATGGTCAAGCTTCGAGAGCAAGGCATCAACTACTGTGATGCTACACACGAGGCAGAGAAGGAGTGGCGGGAGAAGATCACTGAGCTCTCGGACAAGACACTGTTCCCGCAGACCAAGTCATGGTACATGGGTGACAACGTGCCGGGCAAACTTCGAGAGCAGTTGAACTTCGCCGGCGGGTTCCCACTGTACAGCGAGATGACGCGAAGTGCACTGGACAAGGGCTTCGAGGGCTTCATTACTGCGTAGATATCCACTGGCGAAGGAAGGGGCCGTTTTGCCTGTTGTAATTAATTGTATATCAATCATCTGCTTTGAACAACTGTCCCGTTTCCGTCGTGTGCGTCAGGTACTGCGGTGAAGGCAGGAAGTAGCCTCAACTAGTGCGACATGCCATCAATGTACTGATCGGGACTGCACGTGCAGGAAAGGAGCAAAACTTCGGAAATGGACCGCATGGCTCGGGCGTGGGGGCATGCGATGTGACGGGCGTGGTGGGAGGAGAGGGGCAGCGTGGCGTAGGTGGCCGCGGAAGAGCCCGCGGGCAGCAGATGGCCTGATCGGCGTCACATGGAATTTACGCCGACCGACGTCACGACGGGCGCCAGGTCAAGCAGCGCACTGCTACCTGCCTTATGGAAGCCGCACGCGCATCTGCCCACCACCCGGTACCATGAGGACGGCGTTCCTTTTTGGTCGCCAATGCTGTCGCCCAGGCCTGCCCAAACTCGCAACCCGCGCCTTCACGCGTCCATCCACCGCCGCCTCCCGCTTCCGCCGTCAATTTGCGACTCCAAACTTCAAAGGTCGGACGATACTATGGTCTGGTGCAGCTGCCGGAGCTGCGGGTGGCGCGATACTCAGTCCACTTGCCTTCGTCGACGTCGCCAATGACAAATCCGGCCATGGAGAGAAGACGCATGAGGAGGCCATGCTCGAGGCGTCGCGGAAGGAGCTCGACGAGCAGGTGCCCTACGCGCTGAGGCACTCTACAAAGTACAGGCGAGGCATATATTTCTTCATCGAGGACTACATAGTCGAGCCCATAGCCACCGGATTCCGCTTCCTCCACCTCATCATCATCTTCGTGCCGGTCATCGTGACAATACCTGCGATATGGCTTGGTTCACGACAGCCGGATAGAGACAACGAGCGGAGTGGGACGCTATGGTGGTATGGCTTTTTGGTCGGGTCTATGGAGAGGGCTGGTGCAGCCTTCATCAAAGTATGTGCCGTCACGTTAGACTCAGAAGACATCAACTAGACTGACTCTATGATAGCTCGGACAATGGGCTGCCTCCCGAACAGATGTCTTTCCAACCGAAATGTGTTCAATCATGTCGACCCTCCACTCCAACGCCCCGGCGCACACATTACAAGTCACGAAGCGAACGATCGAGGCGGCTTTTGACGGACAGAGCTTTGAC